CCCCGGTTCAAGTGATTCTCCTGCATCAGCCTCCTGAGTAGCTGGGATTACAGGCATGCACCATCACGCCCAGCTCATTTTGTATTTTTAGTAGAGATGAGGTTTCTCCATGTTGGTCAAACTGGTCTCGAACTCCTGACCTCAGGTAATCCACCCATCTTGGCCTCTCAAAGTGCTGGGATTACAGGCGTGAGCCACCGTACCCAGCCAACCCTAATTATTAGCACCTCACCAAGGCCCAACTCCAAATGCCATCACATTAGGGGTCAGGAATTTTAGGAATATAAATCTGGGGAGAACAGAACTCAAACCGTAGCACCAACTCCAAGGGCAGGCCTTGCTAACTAAAGGCTGGTTGTCCCTCAGAGCTCTCACAGCTCCCGGAGATCATTGTGCAACAGGCCTATGGTCACTTGTTGAAGGTTGTGCAACCCTCAGTGGCTGAACCATCAGATTCCAAACTTCATTCTCTTCATTATATCAAATAAATGGCCTCAAAAGATCTGTAATGAGGACAAGAGTGACCAGTCAGAAAAAGGGCAAAGAAACCAGTAACAAAAGGGAATATGACAATTAAGTGCATAATAAACCGGGTAGGGGAGATAATGAAAAATAAATAAAGGAAGAATGAATGAATGGGATTTAGGGCATGCAGCGATCACTTAAAAAAGAGGCTGAAAAGTCTGAGGGAATCTTTTGTGAACATTAATTTCCATTAGGCCCAGCATTTTATGTGTGTGCAAGGCTTATGTTTACAGTTATTCTTGAACACTCCTTGCTCTCCCCCGCTCTCCCAGGTCTTTTGACCTCAGGAAAAATCAGTCTAAAGAGATTGTTTTTGTCATCTCCGCTGTCTGCGTCGCCCATCGAATCCAGCCTTTGTTTCTCTTGCAGCCTCACTGTCTCTGAGTGCAACTTTAACCCTGACTTGGATTGTCTGAGAGACTGGGGGCTGAGGGCTGAATCAAGCCTCAGAGACACAGACTTTGACCTTTATAGTCCACTGACTTGCAAAATACATCGGTTAATACACAGAGGAAGAGATGGAAGAAAAAGTATCACCAAAGTGGGCAAAGGATTATCAAAGGAGGAATAGAGACAGAGGGCAGAGTGTGCTGAGCAAAGACACCTTGATTCATGATAAGGTGCCCAAGGGATAAGCTTTCATGCAGGCTGGGAAGGGTAGCAGCCATTTCTTCTCCTTTTTCTTTTCTATGTTTCAGGCTAGGACTGAAGGAAAGGCATTAAATTCAATCTGGGGTGTGGTGGCTCACACCTGTAATCCCAGCAGTTTGGGAGGCCAAGATGGGTGGAACACCTGAGGTCAGGAGTTCGAGACCAGCCTGGTCAAAGAAACCCCATCTCTACTAAAGATACAAAAAAATTAGCCAGGCGTGGTGGTGTGCACCTGTAATCCCAGCTTCTCAGGAGGCTGAGGCAGGTGAATAGCTTGAACCCAGGAGGCAGAGATTGCAGTGAGCCGAGATTATGCCACTGCACTCCAGCCTGGGTGTCAGAGCAAGACTCCATCTTGGAAATAAATAATCAATGAAATAAAAAATGAATACAATCTGGAATTGAGATTAAATATAAGAAATAACTTTCAGAGAGAACTATTTATTTAATAAAGGAAAAGATTATTGACACGGCCATGTAAGCCCCCCTTACTGAATAAATAATACTGAGGCATAATTAGTATCAAACCCCATCTAGAAGTTTGGCAGTCTCTTGGGTACTTCAAATGCACACATTATTTCATTAAATCTTTTTAGGAACTCCCTAAGGTGAATAGTATTACCCCCATTTTACAGAAAAGTAAACTGAGGCTCGAGGATGCTAAGGGACTTGCCAGGGACATATGCAGTGGGTGGCACTGATAAGTTTAGGCCAAGTTGCCTCTAACTCTAAAGCAGGTACCATGCTGTAGATCGGCAGGAACCATGGTCTTGAATTGCTTCAGACTAAGCCCAGGGAATGATTATACTATCTCAGTGGGCTCCAAACCTGCCTTATCTTAGGGACTGGGTGAAAGGTAAGAGAAAGGAGAGAGGAATTGAGAGTGACCTCATGAGATAAAGTCTCCTGGTACTGCCTCCCAGCGTAAAGCCAAGAAAAACTTTCATTAGTTTCCCTCGAAGTAAATCCCTTTGCACTTGAATTAATGATATAAGAAGTCCAAGATCAGGATGCCTGCCTATTTAGTTCCTCAGTGAGGGCAACCTCCCAGCTGCCAGACCTGTGAGAACTAAATGTGTTTCATGAGCCACCTAGTCTGTAATTTGTTATGGCAGTCCCAGCAGACTAGGACAGTGAAGTTCAGAGGAAGAGGCCAGAGGCCTCGTCCCAGGCCGTGAGGACACCACTGAGCTGAGGGAGGAAAGCTCCCACCCAGGTTTGAAATGCAAGAACAATTGATGCCTGGCTGGGCCCGTTGGCTCACACCTGTAATCCCTGCACTTTGGGAGGACAAGGTGGGAGGCCAAGTGAACTCCTCCTCACTTGAGGTCAGGAGTTTGAGACCAGCCTGACCAATGTGATAAAACTTTGTCTCTACTAAAAGTACAAAAATTAGCTGGGTGTGGTGGCAGGTGCCTATGATCCCAGCTACGTGGGAGGCTGAGGCAGGAGAATCACTTGAGCCTGGAAGGTGGAGGATGCAGTGAGCTGAGATCACGCCACTGCACTCCAGCTTGTGACAGAGCGAGACTCTGTCTCAGAAAAAAAAAAAGAGAAAAAATGATGTCAGCAAAAATGATATCTCTGAAAAATTTCTTCTCTATGAAAGTAAGGAGAAAACTGGCAAAAACGGGAGGAATCAACTTTTTTAGGGCTCTGGAAATTAATCAAATATTGGCAGGGATTCAGGAAGTATGTATTCAAGAAAAATGGCTGAATCTCAGTAGTTAGAGAAATTAGAAGATAGTTTGAGATGAGTGAAAATATAAACACAGCATTCCAAAACTTATGGGGTGCAGCTAACCCACTGCTTAGCGGGAAATTTATAGCTGTAAATGCCAACATTAATAAAGACGAAAAGTCTAAACTCAGTAATCTAAACTTTCACCTCAAGACACTGGAACAGGAGGGGAAACCTAAACCAAAAACCAGTAAAAGGAAGGGTATAATAAAGACTCCATGGAAATCAGTGAAATTCAGAAGAGAAAAACAAGAGAAAGTTAACAAAACAAAAACGCTGATCTTTGGAAAGGCCAACAAAATTGACAAAATTAGCTAAACTAAGAAAAAAGAAGACTCGATGACTAAAATTAGGAATGAAAGAGAACACACAACTCCTGGCCCTACAGAAATAAAAAAAAATATATGAGGGGATATTTTGAACAACTGTATACAAAGAAATCCGACAGCTGACACTAAATAGACAAATTTCTAGAGAGACACAAACTGTCTAAACTGATCCAAGAAAATATAGAAAATCTGAAGAGACCTATCACAAAGACTTTGACATAATAGTGAAACAAAACAAAAAAAAAATTACTTCCAACAAATAAGAGCTCAAGATCAAATGTAAGAAAAGAAAGGATTAATAGACTCTTAAGTGACTGAAGGAAGGAAAAGGCGTTAGAATTTCAAGCCCTCAATTATCCCACCTTCCTGTTTTTTTTTAAAAAAAAAAAGTCATGGTAAAAAACACATAACATAAAATGTACCACCTTAGCCACTTTTAAATGTGTAGTTTAGTATTGTTAAGTATATTCACATTGTTGTGAAACAGGTCTTTCAATCTTTTTCATCTTGCCAATTTGAAACTCAATACCCATTCATTAATAACTCCCCTCTCCCCCCTCCTCATCCTTTGGTATGTAATATTCTGTACATGTAACATTTGGTCTGTAACATCCTACTTTTTGTTTCTGTAAGTTTGACTACTGCCTCATATTATGGAATCATACAGTACTCATCTTTTTGTGATTGATTTGTTTCACTTAGCGTAATATTTTCAAAGTTCAGCACGTAATGAGATTTTCTTTCTTTCTAAGGCTGCCTAGTATTCCATCATATACACAGACCACATTTTGTTTATCCAGTCATCCTTTTGTAGACTTGGATTGCTTTCACCTCTTGGCTACCATGGGTAAACGCTGCTGTGAACATAGGTATGCAAATATCTTTTTGAGACTCTTCTTTTAATTCTTTTGGATGTATACCCAGAAGTGGAATTGCTGAATCATAATAGTGCTATTTTTGATTTTTTGAGAAACTGCCTACTGTTTTCCATAGAGGTTGCAACATTTTATAATCCCACCCACGGTGTACAAGGATGCTGATTTCTCTACATCCTGGCCTCGTTATTTACTGGGTTTTTAGTTTGCTTTTAGTGGTGCCTCCTAATGAGTGTGAGGTGATATCTCATTGACGTTTTGATTTGCATTTCCCTGGTGATAGTGACATTGAGCATCTTTCCATATGCTTGTTAGTTACTTGTGTCACTCTCTTTTTTTTTTTTTTTTTTTTTTTTTTGAGACAGAGTCTCACTCTGCTACCCAGGCGGGAGTGCAATGGTGTGATATTGGCTCACTGGGACCTCCACCTCCTGGGTTAAGCAATTCTCCTACCTCAGCCTTTCAAGTAGCTGGGACTACAGGCATGCACCACCTAGCTAATTTTTGTATTTTTAGTAAGGCGGGGTTTCACCATGTTGGCCAGGCTGGTTTCGAACTCCGCATCTCAAGTGATCTACCTGTCTTGGCCTCCCAAAGTGCTGGGATTACAGGCATGAGCCACCATGCCCGGCCTTATATATCATCTTTATAGATGTCTATTCAAGTCCTTTGCCCTTTTAAAAATTGGGGAATTTTTGGTTGAGTTGTAGGAGTTCTTTATGCATTCTGCATATTAACCCTTTTTCAGATATGACTTGTTACCATTTCAACCCATTCTGTAGGTTCCCTTTTTACTTCATTGATTATGTTCTTTGACACGCAAAGGTTTTTAAGTTTTATATAGTCCCATTTGTCTATCTTTTCCACCTTTTGTTTAAAAAAACATTGGAATGCTTTACAAAACTGCATCTCATTCTTTTGCAGTGGCTGTGCTAATCTTCTCTGTATCATTCTAACTTTAGCTTATAAAAGCTAGCACCCAACCATCCTTTTACAGTTGATTTTCTTTTATTTATTCCAGTCTTACTTTTCAAGCAGACCCCCCTCCCCCACCCAGTTATCCTATACCTTGATTCAGTGACTCTCAGACTTGAATGTGCACCAGAATCTCTTGGAGGGTTTGTTCCATTGTAAATTGCTGGGTCCCACCACAGAGTCTTTGATTCAGTAGATCTGGGGTGGGGTTTGACGATTTACATATGTAACAAGATATCAAATGATGCTGGTCCTAATAGTCCCGGACCACATGTTGAGGACTGATGCTCTAGTCAAATTCAATCGTTCTATGTTTTTTGAGAGGTGATTGGCCTTTGCTTATGCTTTTTTTTTTTTTTTCTGCCCAGAAGGCCCTTTATTCAGGCACCTCCTCTACGGGTTTTCACTAAGCCCTTAAACTAGAATGAATCTCTCTCCTGAGTTTCTATATCACTTTTTATTTATTTTATCACTTATCACCTACCTTTTACTTTTGTTTGTTTCTTTCTTTTCTTTTCTTTCTTTTTTTTTTTTTTTTTTTTTTTTTTTTTTGAGACATAGCCTTGCTCCGTTACCCAGGCTGGAGTGCAGTGGCATGATCTCAACTCACTGCAGCCTCCGCCTCCTGGGTTCAAACAATTCTCATGCCTCAGCTTCCCAAGTAGCTGGGATTATAGGCATGCACCACCATACCTGGCTATTTTTGTATTTTTAGTAGAGATGAAGTTTCACCATGTTGGCCAGGTTGGTCTTGAACTTCTGACCTCAAGTGATCCGCCCGCCTCAGCCTCCCAAAGTTCTGGGATTACAGGCGTGAACCACAGCACCCAGCCACCTTTTACTTTTGATTTGACTTACTTACGTACCAGTCACATCCTCTATTAGGATAATAAGGTTTTGGATGTCAGTGCTCATGTTTAACTTATCTTTATACGTCCTTCAGTGCCTGGCAAAGAATCTCACCTATATTAGGCATGCAATGGATATTTGTTAAATGAATGAAAAAAAAAATAAGGAAATACCCTGTGAAGAAAAAGATAGCAGTATTAAGGAAAGAAAAACTGAATTAAAAGAAATAGAAAAAGGGAGATGATAACTGTGGTGGAATAAAGTGGTGGGAATTCTTCCAGAAGGGAATTTTGTCTTGCCAACTAAAAGTGAGGCAAAAATAGACCAGGTCTTCCCAGCTGTTCTTTTTGTCTGATTTCTTGCAGCTGTGCTAGAATTCTTTTTTTTTTTTTTTTTTTTTCCAGGCCAGAATTGCTAACCACCATGCCAGTAGGGTCCTTTTGATTTCATAAAAAGAGAAAGTCTGGGGGACTTTAATTCCCAAACACTTACGGTGTGAATCTGAAGGGGTACATTGTTCTATCTTATTGACTGAAATCCAGGCTGTGCCTTTCATCTGATGAAAGATCATGACACTTTTCCCTATGGAGAATTGAAAAGATGCCATTGTCATATTTTTAAAAAAAAGTATTGAAGAAATTTATGAGCTCTAGAATTTGTTGTTTATGCATAACTTTTTTTTTTTTTTCAAACAAGGTCTTGCTCTGTCACCAAGGCTGGAGTGCAGTAGCACGATCATAGCTCACTGCAACCACGAACTCCTGGGCTCCAGCGATCATCCTGCCTCAGCCTCCCGAGTAGCTAAGATTAAAGATGTGTCCCATCAAAACCAGCTAATTTTTGTAAATGTTTTTGTAGAGACATAGGATCTTGCTATGTTGTTCAGGCTGTTCTCAAACTTCTGGCCTCAAGTGATCCTCCTGCCTTGGCCTCAAAAGTGCTGGGATTATAGGCATGAGTCATCATGCCCTGGCCTATGCACAAAATTTTTAATTGGTGTTTTTTTTTTTTTTTTTTTTTTAATTTGAGACAGAGTCTCACTCTGTCACCCAGGCTGGAGTGCAGTGGCATGATCTCGGCTCACTACAACTTCCACCTCCTGGGTTCAAGCAATACTCTTGCCTCAGTCTCCCGAGTAGCTGGAATTACAGGCATGCACCACCACACCCGGCTAATTTTTGTGTTTTCAGTAGAGACAGGGATTTCACCATGTTGGCCAGGCTGGTGTCAAACTCCTGACCTCAAGCCATCTACCCGCCTCGGCCTCTCAAAGTGTTGGGATTACAGGTGTGAGCCACCACACTCGGCCTTTAAAATTAATTTTTATAAAATGATCCCAGTCTACAATTCTTTATTACATTATGGCCCCACTTCCCCAGCAGGTTGGATTGGACATACCTTCTAACTTTTGCATCTTAGTTTGATTGTTTCTTAGGTTAGTCTTCATCTAAACCAGCAATATGCAATAGGGTATTTTTTCTGTCATGCTATGGACTATGGCCTGGCAGAGAGCCTTTCTGGTGCATTTTTGAAAAGGCTCATACTCCTGGGAATACAGTCCCACTGCAATCACTAAGGAAAGAAGCAAACCACAAAGGAACCCAGGGTTTCTCGTGGAACATGTGCCCTGAACACCTTCTGGAAGTTTCTGTGATGTTTGCTCTCATGGCAATGGATTACTCTGGCTCATGGCTGCTGCCCTGGGATTGCTCTGTTCATCTGCTTGCCATTTTCATTTTTGTTAGCTTGCTGTTGGACACTTAAGGCAGATTGCATTTTGTTATCCAGATGTGTCTATGCCCAGGGGCACTAGCATGCATTCAAATCACTGGGCATGTATTGCTCTTTCATTGTATATAGAAAATTGAGAGCCTTGAGAGCTGGCCTGAAAAATTTTAGTCCCTCACTAAAACTCCATCTTTAATATCATTTCTCTATGGTGTGGTTGCACTTGGAAGAACTGGAAATCAACCACTCAATTACGAGCTCAAGAGTATATGAAATTAAACACACTCAGAAATTAATCGTTTTTCTCAACCCTTCTGTAAATGATAGATATCTCAGCAGTCAAGTTATCTTCCACTGCTAGAGGATATTCAACAGTAAGAATCTGGAAGATCTTATTAAAAGACTTTAGACAGAACCTGGAAATGGATTTTCTGCATTTATATGCAAATTAATTTTGAATTCTCTACATATGCTGAGGGTAAAGATTAGGATGTCTAGATGGGTCTGGGTAGCAAAGGCAGGCCCTGATTTTTTCTGGTTAGTGCCTTGGGGAGATTAAGTTTGGCTATCACTCTGAGTAAAATTTAACTCAAATGCTGAAAATTTTAGACGAAACTGGATATGTCAAACAGGAACCTGTTCTAACATCAAATGAGTGACTTATTTTGCTGCTTAGCCAGGGTGGGCCAAACGTAACACTAAGCTGGCTATCAATAGTCCTGTTTCTTCAAGAATTTCTAATAGAGTGTGATCATGTTCATTCATAGATTGGACAGAGATGCTGATGAAGACAGAGTGGACGTAAAACTATGAAAGATGGGGCTTTTGGTACCTAAAATTATTTTTTCCTTTTAAAAGTTATAGTAATTTTTAAATTTTGGAAATTAAAAATTTTGGAAAATAAAAACCACAAGTACACTTACAGTAGTCTTCCTTTCCTTTCTTTTCCTTTCCTTTCTCCTCTCATTTCCTTTCCTCTCCTCTTCTCTCCTCCCCTCTCCATTCCTTTTCTTTCCTTTTTCTTTCAAGACAGAGAGGGTTCCACTCTGTGGTCCAGGCTGGAGTGCAGTGGCAGTATCAGGGCCCACTATATCCTTGACCTCCTAGGCTCAAACAATCCTCCCATCTCAGCCTCCCAAGTAGCTAGCACTATAGGTATGTACCACTGTGCCCAGACAATTTTTTTTGCAGAGATGGAGGTCTCACTTTTTTGCCCAGGCTGGTCTCAAGCTCCTGGCATCAGGCGATCCTCTCACTTCAGCCTCCCAAGTGCTGGGACAACATCTGTGAGACACCATGCCCAGCCAGTGTGGCTTTTTTCTGATCTGCCCAGTACTAACCCTCCTTCTGGGAATCACTCTTTCTGTACCTTTAACCTGACGATTCCTGTGGGAGCAGCTGTGCTCTGACATGGCCTGGACCTGCCAAGGGCTGATTAGAGGATAGCAGTACCAACGATCCCCTTCTCTGGGATGTCTGAACCTGATTCCAGGGGTGATTATCAATATCTGCAACAATCAGGGAGGTCCAGGCACCCACCAATTAGGGCAGACATTGCCTGAAAAACAATCGATATGGGTGCAGCAGTGCACGCCGGCTGAGGAGCACCCTTGTTTGAGAACAGGGAACATAGGGATTCCCTCTTTGGGGACAGAAGTTGGAAAGTGTGCGTTGGGGAGGCCTGTTCTCTTCCTGTAGACAAATCCCGTCGTGGTGAATAGGAATGAGGCCAACAGCAAATCCTGGAGATGGAAGAGACTCCTGAAGATGTTGAAACGCCTGGCCCCAGTTGTTCTGTGGGCCAGCTGGATTCCTGCCCTTCTATAGCTCTATTGCTCAATCCTTCCCTGGGATCTTGAAGGAAATAAATTCCACCCCCCGTTTTTTTTTTTTTTTTTTTTTTTTTTAGACAGAGTCTTCCTCTGTCGCCAGGCTGGAATGCAGTGGCGGGAATTTGGCTCACTGCAACCTCTGCCTCCTGGTTCAAGTAATTCTCCTGCCTCAGCCTCCCACATAGCTGGGATTACAGGCCCGTGCCACCATGCCCAGCTAATTTTTTTTTCTTGTATTTTTAGTAGAGATGGGGTTGCACCATGTTGGCCAGAATGGTCTCGATCTCTTGACCTTGTGATCCACCCGCCTCAGCCTCCCAAAGTGCAGGGATTATGGGCATAAGCCACCTCGTTCGGGCATAAATTTCATTTTTGGCTCAAGTTAGTTGAAGTTTAGATACATACTTTCCCCCATAAAAGTAACAAAGAGTCCTAACTGATTTAACATTAAACACCTGTATTCTTTTTTTTAAAGCTTATTTGTTTGTTTTAGAGACAGGGTCTTGCTCTGTTGCCCAGACTGGAGTATGATGGTGGGATCGTAGTTTATTGCATCCTGGAACTCCCAGGTGCAAGGGATCCTCGTTCCTCAGTTTC